CAATCTGCTAAATACTGCTCTGAGCCACATACTCTTCCCTTATCTGAAGCCAGTGCTGACGAGCCTCTTGACTGTGTTTTCTATCTCTGCCTTCGTCCCGTCCACCTCGGTCTTAAACAGGAAATAAATCGCCCATTAAGATAGGACTGAAGTCACTGTCCCACACCAACCATGAAGTCAATCTGATTGCGCAAAGTATCTAGTCACTATGGCAAGGGAATATAATATTTATTACTAGTTAACAGGTTATTTTTAGAAGTGTCTGAAAGACATTTAGCATCTCATAAACCATGTTTACCGTGTTAAACTGAAGGTTAACTCACTCTTTTACATATATGGACTCAAAAGAAAAAGATTTTGCTACTAGTTCAAACTACCTATTTAAAATGAGCTGAAACGGCACCATTTTTTAAATTGTTTTATGTTCAATCCACTTAAATGTGTTAACTTAATCGATTTGTGTTGGGACAAGATAAATTAATTGTGTGGAACCTTGAATTTTTTACTGTGTGGGTTAAAGAGAAAATAAAAGTGTAATAGAGCTTTACATTAGTTTTATGTATCAGTATGCATCTTGTTTAAAATTTATTTGATTTTTTTTCCCCTATTGACAATACTACTACTATTACTACTACTACTACTTCTACTACTACTACTACTACTAATAATAATATTTTTGGTGATGCAGTGGCGCAGTAGGTAGTGCTGTCGCCTTACATTAAGAAGGTCACTGGTTCGAACCTCGGCTCGGCTCAGTTGGCGTTTCTCTGTGGAGTTTGCATGTTCTCCCTGCATTCACGTGGGTTTCCTCTGGGTGCTCCGGTTTCCCCCACAGTCCAAAGTGATCTGGTACAGGTGAGTTGGGTAAGCTAAATTGTCTGTAGTGTATGAGTGTGTGTATGAATGAGTTTATGGATGTTTCCCAGTGATGGGTTGCGGCTGGAAGGGCATCTCCTGCGTAAAAAAAAGCTGGATAGGTTGGCGGTTCATTCCACGGATTAATAAAGGGACTAAGCTGACAAGAAAATGAATGAATGAATGATAATATTTTCACCATGATTTACAGAAGACACCCACTGTAATGTCCGTTACACACTGCAAAAAGCGATGCACTTAAAAAAAACAATTGAGTAAGCACTGCCTTAAAATGATTAAGTAAATGAACTGTGATTAATTATAAACATTAAGTTAGCTGAACTTAATAGTTCTAAGTTGCAACAGAAATACTCGTCATTTAAATAAAATCCACTTGTGTCATTTAATGGGTTTACTCACTTTAAGTAATTGCTTTTTACAGTGCATATATGCACTTATTTTGCTGCTTGTTCACACTACTTATTAAAAATGAGCTGAAACAACACAATTCTTGATGTTTTTTTGGCCAAACCTAATTGTTTTAGGTTCAATCCACTTGAACGTGTTAGGTTAACTTAATCAATTTGGGTTGGGACAACATGAATGAATTGTGTGGAACCCAGAATCCTTTACAGTGTGGGTTAAAGAGACAAAAGGTTTTCATTAAAGATAATAAAAGTGTAAAAGAGCTTTACAATTTTCTTATGTATCAATATGCATCCTGTTTATATGTATTTGTTTTTTCCTTATTGATGATGATGATAATAATAATAATTTACAGAAGACACCCACTAAAATGTCCTTCATAACATCAATAGTTTACTAATAAACAGTACTAGAATAAAAGTCTTTTGATAAGATATTAAATGACTAAAGATCACAGTGCAAACAAATTCTTACTACACTAAAAAAATATGATCAATTTGTCATGACAACATATGTGTTTAATTTATTATATCTTATTAAACCAAGTTAATCATGTTCTAACTTAATTGTATAACTTACGCAAGCTGTTTTAAGTCAGTTTAACATAATATAAGTTCAATGGACTCATAAGGTTTATTTGATTCAGTTTAAAAAATTAAGGCAACCAGGATTTTTTACAGTGTATATTTGTAATAATAATAATAATAATACTGATTTAAATTGCCACAATGTTTCAAACACCAAGGTTTTACATCTGGTAATTAGTAATAGCATTTTGCATGTCATTCATTCATTCATTCATTCATTCATTCCTTCATTCCTTCATTTATTAATTTGTTCATTCAATGAATAAACTGCCAATTTATGCAGCATATGTTTTACAAACCGGATGCCCTTCCAGCTGCAACCCAGTACTGGGAAACACCCATACACTTTCACATTTACACACACACACACACACACACACTACAGATAATTTTAGTTTATTTATTTATTCATTAATTTTACCTCACCTTAGTCTCGTTATTCATCAGGGGTCGCCACAGTGGAATGAACTTATCTAGCATGTTTCACACAGCGGATGCCCTTCCAGCTGCAACCCAGTACTGGGAAACATTCATACACTCTCAGATGCACATACTACAGCCAATTACATTTTATTCAATTTACCTATAACCCGGAAACCAAAGCATCTGGAGGAAACGTGAACATGGGGAGAACATGCAAACACTACATGCCAACTAGCCCAGCCGGGACTTGAACCAGTGACCTTCTTGCTGTGAGGAGACAGTCCTAACCTGAGCCCTCGAGTCGCCTGATGTAATAGATTTTTTATTTTTATTTTTTTATATAAAGAATGTAAAAATAAGTATGTTATTTCAGCATAAATACATATTTAGCCTAAATGTAGTCTGAAAGCTTATGCCATTCATCCATATTTTGACAATATATTTCCAGAAAAGTTGTTTATGAACACTGAAGCTGTTTGAAACTACACTGTATAACAAGATATTACTAAAAAGTCATGACTACAAACCTTTTTTTGTTACTTTAACTTATTTTAATAGGTTAATCAGGTGTCGACTGCATTTTAAAACCATGCAATGTTTAGTCTGATTTGTTTTAGTTGAGATGACTAGAAAAGTAATTTTTTTACCGTGTAAAAATGCTTATATAAATGCACGCTCTTTGAACTGTGCATATATCATATTTTTTGTATGTTATTTTATTTTAAATCTGATTTGAGCTATTGTATAGCTTAGATCGCTAAATTAAATCAATTAAAACGAAAAAAAAAATATGAATAAATAAAGTACTGAATGCCATTTTATTATGTTAAACCTGCTAAATGCTTATGTTTGTAAACGTTCTTCATGCATTTGGTTGGTTTATCGGATCCAATCACTGCTTGCTCGCTTTTCAGATTTGATTTCAATCGTTTTCTTGACAGATCTGCAGACAAGACTGAAAGAGTGCCGGCTTGTCTGCGGTTCTGTTTACTCTCAGCTCTTCATCCTGAGTCCTCTGACTTATCACTAGTCTTCAATAGTTTTATCTGTTTGGCTAATGTGTGTGTAATGACAAGCTCATTGGAAAGCGTTAAGATTGTCAGATCTGTTAAACGGTTTATTACGATATTCAGCGCGTATTGCCGTGCTTAACATTACATTTTAAAATAAATCTGCGAAAAAAAAAAACTATTCTGACAAACACTTATTTAGGATTATATCTCATGAAGATCACTTAAGAAGCTATGATTAATTTAGGAACTCATTAGCATATTTTAAAATATTTATGTAACCTAAAAATATCTAAATAATAATTAAAATAATTAATGCATGCAGCCTAAAATGGGTTTCACGTGGTAACATCTAAACCCTTTCGTCTTTCGGTCAATTATTTGCCCCCTTTTGTTCTTTTATCTTTTTTGTTTTTTGTTTTTCTAATGTATATTATAAGTGAGTCAAACTGACTATTGGTTATATGATGAAACAAAACATTTAGTGATCGAATAGAACAAATAATGGAGAATGTATTTTTATGTTCGGTCCACTTACATTTGCCTAAAAAACGATTAAGTTAACTTAATCGATTTGTGTTGGGACAACATGAATGAATTGGGTAGAACCCAGCATTTAAAAACAAAATCTAAAATAAAAGCAAACAAATGCAGTAGTCAACATTTGAAGTGTTTGTCAAAATTGTCCTAAGACAAGAATGGGTGTTGTTCAATACTCTAAGGACAACTTTGATGAAAGGTGATGATCAACTCCAACTGTTGACTACTATATTTTCTACTCATAATGCACGAAGTGAATAAAAGATATCAAAATATTTTAAAAATTGGTTTAGCAAACAGTTTGGGTCATCTATTTTATGTTTAATGCATCGTGTCCAAACAACACTAAGGATGAAAAGAATTCGAGAAATTCACATTATTACATACATACTTTCATTTTAGCCTTTAAATAAAAACACCAATATGTTAAAAAAATTATATATATATATATATATATATATATATATATATATATATATATATATATATATATATATATATATATATATATATATGTTGATTCGTTATATGCTAAAAAACAAATATAAAAATAAATTACATATCTCACTTTGGGATAGGCCTATTGCAACTTTTCTGAGTTATATTTAAAGTCCATATTTAACAAGCATGACAAACCTGACAGAAACTATTAAATATTAAATGCTTAAATCGTGGATTTATAATACTCAACAAATGGAAGTGTATTTTTTTTAAACCTCCAAATTCTATTTCAAAATCACACATCTCGAACGCTGGGGCGACACGGTGGCTCAGTGGTTAGCACTGTAGCCTCACAGCAAGAAGGTCGCTGGTTTGGTGGTCGGGTTTGTCCGGGTTCTCCGGTTTCCTCCTCAGTCCAAACACATGCGCTAGGTGAACTGAATAAACTAAATTGGCCGTATGTGTGGATGAGTGTGCGTGGATAAGGATGTTTCCCAGTACTGGATTGCAGCTGGAAGGGCATCCGCTGTGTAAAACATATGCTGGATAAATTGGCGGTTTATTCCGCTGTGGCGACCCGATCAATAAGAGGGACGAAGCCGAAGTAAAATGAGTGAATAAATTAATCTCGAACGCTATTTATGATAATTACACTTTTCTGGAATATTTTCTAAAGTGCTTTAAAAACAAGCGTGACAAAACCTCCTTGAAGAAATGTTATTAAATATTAATTCTTTATTTGGTGTTGTTTTGTAAACCACAAATATAAAAACAAATATATATTTATATAAAATTAGTCAACAATCTAAAGCAAATGACAGTGTTTCTTAAATCCTCCAGTCCAGTGCCATTTGATAAAAGAGTCTTTAATCCAAGTTCTTCTCTGATGTCTCACCAAGTTCTGATGCTATCAACGCTTCCCGTTGTCAGATTCATGTCCACAAAGTGATTGGGTATTTGACTCGTGTTGGCAAATGATGGCACAGAAGTGAAGTTACAGTGGTATGGGTTATTTCCATAGCTGTTGTAATAGTTATTGTAGGGATATGATACTGTGACATTGTACGGAGCTCCGTGACAGGGTTTGCCATCGCGCACCAGCACAGGCACCGCCACCCTCCGCGGGCCGGCCAGCTCCAGGGATTTATCCTGCCGCTGTCTCTTACACTTGTACCTCCGGTTCTGGAACCAAATTTTGACCTGTGTGGATGTGAGCTTCAGTGCAAGAGCCAGGTGGTCACGCTCCGGGGCCGAAAGGTATCTCTGCTGCTTAAAGCGTCTTTCCAGCTCAAACACTTGAGTTTGGGAGAAAAGCACCCGCGGTTTCCTGCGCAGCCTCTGCTTCGGTTTCTCCCGGAGTGTCTCGCCGTTTTTACTGCTGTAACTGGAGTCGGTAAATGGACACATGCCTGAAAAAGAAAGCAATCAAATGTATATTTTATATTCATACACGCAGGAAGTTGTTGAAAGACATCAAACGTTTATTGGGGAAAAACGTGTCCATTTGCAACAAACATGATCTGTCAAAATGAGTTTAGACAACTAAATTTACAACGTAATTATTTTATGTTCGATCCACTTTAATTTTTCTAAAAACGATTAAGTTAACTCAATCAATTTGTGTTGGGACAACGTGAAGGAATTGTGTGGAACCCAGCATTTAAAAACAACATTAAAATAAGAGCAAACAAATGCAGTAGTCAACATTTAAAGTGAATCAAAAAGTTGTTCAAAATTGTCCAAAGACATAACTGGGTGTTGTTTAATAGATTAAGGACAACTTTGAAAGGTGATTATTTACTTTAAATGTTGACTACTATATATTTTTTTCTACTCATGAATGCACGAAGTGAACATTTTTTTTAAGTTTATTTGCAAAAACACTACTCGATTTACAAAAGACAAACGATTTACACTGGGAAAAAAAACACTTCTGCTTGTTCAAACTAATTTAAAATGAGCTGAAACAACAATTAGTAAGGTTTTTGATGACTTAATTAAACAATTGTTTTGTTCAAATAACTTAAATTTGTAAAAGTTAACTGTCTGATCTGAACGATGAATAAATACGCTTTCCATTGTGTGTTTTTACTTTGTTTGTTGTTGTAGTTTTACAATTACTCTATGTGAAAATCTGGAATCTGAGGGTTCAATCAAATTAAAACACTGAGCAAATCGGCTTTAAAGTTGACCAAATTAAGTTCTAATGTACATTAATCAAAAATTCAGTTTTGATATATTTACGCCAGGAAAATTACGAAATAATCTTTATTAAAAGCTACAAATATCGCCAAAATATAACTATATAGACTGCTTTTGTGGTCCATGGTCACAAATAAGAAAAACAGGAAAGAAGTTATCTGTTTTTGCAAATGGTCTCCTTAATATACCATACCAACAATATAGTCTATTATCTTCCGATTTTGAAGTTGTAAATGAAGCAAATGTTACTGGAGTAGCATGTTCTCGAAATCGCATGCCGTTTGCCAGTTATTGTTCAAATAATTTGTGCATTTTTAAAAATTCAGTATTATAAGACCTAATAGCATTTTGATTAACACTTTAAAATAATGTTCCACCAGTTAATGTATTTACAAACAACAAAAAACGAACAATGCATTAATTAAAATATTCATCCTTTTTTAACGATATAATGAAATAAAGTTTTTCATTGTTAGTTAACTGACGGTGAATTAACTAATGTTCACAAGCACAATTTGTATTTTAATAATGCATTAGTAAATGTTTAACTTTGATTAATAAATGATGTACACCTATTGTGAATACATTACCTAACATTAGTGTTGCCATGCATAGTTTCACATAAATTCAAGTAACCTTTCCAAAAACCTTTGAAATCATTAATGGATAATTTCCATTTCACTTCAGGTTGTTTATAATGGAAGACGGTTCTAAGATTTTATATTATAAAACATCACATCAAATAATTCTTTTTAATTAATCACTGAAAGTTTCTTTATAGAAAGAAAAAAATTGATTTACTGTGGAATCGCTGGTTGTTACTTTGGCTTCATTCTGGGATGAGAGAAAACGTTTGTTGATATTTCTCGTATCAATGTTTTCTTAGTTCTTGAAATATTCTAGCACAGCGACTTTAAAGACTTTTTTACCGGTGCCACTAATGCCTAAGCAGTTTTATTTACCCATTGCTTATTTTGTTTGGCGTATAGCCTAATTATACATCATTTACTGTTAGTGGTCTACTGTGCATGTCTAACCAAACGTGTAATTAAAACACGTAGTGCTAAAATGTCATTAAGTTATCTTGCAGTTATTATTAACTGTAAACAATGAACATCCTACTTGTTTCTTCGTTTGCATCCATCTCCTCTTCCGTTGGAGATCCGCATGAGCTTCTGACGATGTCAAAGTCGTCGCATTTCACCTGTTCTCCGGGGATCCCTTTCTCCGGGCTGTAAAGGAGATCCAGACTCCGACTCAGGGTGTTCTGCATACACTGAAGCTGAAGCGACTGCAGCGGCACAGAGTCCTGCTCAACACCCATGAATACCCCAGGGTTTAGCGCTTGCTGCTGCTCCAGTTTCAGGATGTCCTTTACCGAAAACGGAGTGGAGGTCACAGGACTCGGAAGCATCGTGCGCGTGCTTGAAGAAACGTGGAAGAAATGTTCTCCGTTTCACCTTGTCAAGTTCAAAGCAGCATCAGGTGACTTTGAAAAGTTACTGCAGGCCTACACAATTAAGCAGAATCTTCTTCCTTAGAGTCTGTCGTGGGCTATCTCCTTGCATAAGTCGCCTCGTATCTTGCTCTTTCCGCTGCTATTAGACACTAGTTAAAGGTGCGGAGAGAAGCGCTCTTATCTAATAGACAGCGTCCTTATCTCAGATTGACCCCTCCCATTCTGTGCCTCCCATCATCACCTGTCCTAACTCACAACAGACATTTCACAACAGCTTTAGCTTGTTTACAAATCTCCAAAAGAGCAGAGGTTTTGATGCAAATGACATTATAAAGGTGAGTAATTTAGACTGACTCCATGCATGGCCAACTTGTGATTAAGTGCGCACTATACAGTGCAGCTGCCTTCTTCCCTTTTAAGTTAGCTTATTTTAACCATGTCAGAATATTATTTTACATGGCTAAACCAGACTATTTTATTTTAGAAGAGGTGTGAAAAAGGGATGTTGCACGGGTACATTTTTTTGAGTCAGCAATTTGTGGAAGATGACAAACATATTTCTATTTAAAAGAAAGGTAGCTTGTTTTCAGAGTTATTATAGCTATGAAAAAGTTAAAAAGTCAGGTGAAAATGCAGAAAACGTGCCAATTTAGGCTACTGATGGATCTTGAAGTCATTAACGCAATCATTTTAGATTTATTTATAAATATGGCATTTATCATCCAATCATTGTCTGTATTTAAATAAACAAATGAATGTCACAAATAAGAGAACCTCTTGATATTCAGTGTTTTCAAACCCTAAAACATATTTCTATTGTTTTTTTATTTTGTATTAAGAAGCACTATTTTGATTAATTTAGAATTAAATATAAATTAGTCCCTATTAGTACCCAAAACGATTGAAGCCGATGTTTTTAATAACTTAATTTTGTGGCAGCAGTGCTTCTGAATATAACGTTTTGGGTCACTCTTTATTAAGAATTACAATTAGGTTAAATTGGATTAATCCAATTTAAACCATTAACTAAGACTTTTTAGCTCAAACTAATAATTTGCTGCTTATAAATAATTAGTAAAGAATTGATTGGGCTTACAGGACAGGGTTAGGGACGTAAAATAAGATACTTTATAGCTACTAATAAACTGCTAATATCTTAATAATAATACGCAGGCAATAAACCAGTAGTGGGAATTACTTAAACTATTACAAACTCCTTAAATTAAATGATCTTAGCATGCATGTAATTATTGCAGGCTATACGCAGGGTTCCTCCATTCATCTTCACGGGAGTAAATTGGTTCGTGCTTCAGTGAAGCAAAGTGGATGTCCGAAAAGGTGACGCCGACAGTGACATGCAACAGGCCTATTAGTGTACACAGGCCACAACAAACAGTAACCCAACACCTGATGTATTCCTCTGGCGCCAGCCCGCAATGCTTGACTGGGGTTCAGACGCGGCCGCCGGATTAAACACACCTCAGCTGTCCGTCCATTACCTGCACGTCTGCCATTGAGTTAGATAGAGATTTGAAGGAATTTTTCAGTGTATTTAGTATAATATTTTTTTCTTCTAAGTTTTATTCGTTTAATTTCGGCAAGAATAAAAAGCATTTTTTAATTTTTAAATATATTATAAGGTCATTATTATTAGCCCCTTTAAGCAATACATTTTTTCAATTCTCTACAAAACAAACCAGTTATGTATACAGTGATTTGCCTAATTATCCTAACTTGCTTAGCTAACCTGATTAACCTTAAGAACTTTAGGTAGTTAGTAGTTAAGTGACTTCAAGCTGAATACTAGTATCTTGAAAAATAACTAGTCAAATATTATTGTCATCTTGGCAAAGATAACAGAAATCATTAGAATTGAGTTATAAAAACTGTTTAGAAATGGCTTCATAAAACAGAAATTGGGGTGAAAATATAGGCTAGGAGGGTTAATAATTCTGACCTCAACTGTATGTGCATTTCAGGCTATAGGCGCGAGGAGAGATTTATCATAGTTAAGAATAAAAATACGATCAAAACACAAATGTTCCTTCTCAATTATAATAATGTTAAGGCTGCACGATAATTAAAAAAATGCGATGTGTTGCGTTGCAATAACGATATTTCTACATTTGCCTAAAATTTTATTTTTATTAGCTATGTTTTTGAATAGTGTAGGCTATGTATTTAATGATGTTAAAATAAACATTAAATATATTTTCAGATCTAATTAATTAAAATACGGACTATAACTCAGTCTTTCAGTTTTTCTGACTCTGATTGGCAAGTTACATTTAAAGATAAATGACAAAAAAGAGGTTGGACCTCAGAAAAATGATGGCATGTTTGAAGCCAAAATCTGGTCAATTAGGGAGAAAAACTTATGTTGGGTTATTTTTTTCCCAGTTAAAATTAAACGGCTGCTTTTAACCCAAATAGTTGGGTTTGACCCAACGTTAGCACAGCATTTTTAGAGAGAGTATATATTGACACGTGAATCTCCTCAGATGAAATTAAGCAAAAATACCCGAAGTGTCATAGCTTAAAAGTTCAACATTATATATATATATATATATATATATATATATATATATATATATATATATATATATATATATATAATCACTATTCATATAATTCAAAGTTTAAGCATTTATTGTAAATGCTTTATATTTAAAGTAGGTATGGTATAGATATTTATATAGCATTTTTTGTTATTTATTGTAATTACACATTTTTAAAGCCTAAGTTACATTTAAAGTAATTTAAAATGCAATAAAATTAATAAATTGAAATAAAATAACGTAAAATTATAATCAAGTAGCAGTTTAAAATGTTTATCAATATATCATTAGTTCATAAATGTATTTCTGTAAAGCTTAAAGTTTACTTGTAATTGACATTTAAATACATTACAATTTTATAATTAAATGCAGCTTTCTTTGTGTGTATTAGGCCTAATAAAGTGAATGCAGATTAACTCAAAGCCTTAACATATCGTCTTATATCACTTTAAAACATATTTTTATAATAAATGATGGCAAACAATAGAAATCATTTTATTGATAAAAGGAAAATACGAGTCTTTCATTTGATTTACGGCGCGTGCAAAAGCAGCAACAAATCCAAACAATTACATTACATTCAGAGATTAAGATCATTTGTCACACCGACACGTTGCAACAAGGTTTACATTTCAGTATTGTGGTTTGGGTGCAAATTAATTAAATACTTGTGGTTTTGTACTTGCCTTAAACAGATCAAAACCTTTAAAAATATGATTAAATTGCTCCATTAAAAGATGCAAGTTTCTATTTCAATATTTTTACTTTTAGTCGTCTGTCTGTCTGTCTGTCTGTCTGTCTGTCTGTCTGTCTGTCTATCTATCTATCTATCTATCTAACAATAATACATCAATAATGACAAGAACAAATTCGGTTTGACAATAATTATCTCCTTAAAAATATTTCGTTTCCACAAAAAACAAACAAGCAAAAAAACTCTATAATACAATTCCTTCATGTTGTCTCAACACAAATCGATTAAGTTAACCTGATCGACATTACAAAGTGAAGTGGATTGAACATACAACAATTAAACTGTCCCCAAAACACTTTTTTTAAACTAATTTTAAGTAAGTCTTTTGATCAAGCATCAAAAGTTATATTTTTGAGTGTAGATATTAGGCTATATAATGAAAACAACAAGTGAATAAATAAATAAAAACAAATAAGATTCAGACAGTATTCAGGAAATATCTAAAACTAAACATATTTCCAGCTGCAATCAATTACATTTTAATAATTAATTTTACTTTTCTATGTATATAATGGCAATTATATAACTTTAATCACAGTCATTACCTCATAAATGAATGAGTAAATTCTAGTTAGGTTATGTGCAAAAGTTGTATATTTGCTCATTATAAGCTTAATAGGTCATATACAGTCAATTGTATTAAGGTCTATTATATGCATGTTGCTCTGTAAGTAAAAGCTATTGGCTAAAGGTGAAAAACCAATTCATTGTGTTGAAGCTTTTAACTCTTTTGGCGAAAGATTGGTTTAACCAGTAGGACAGCCAAGTATCTTTGATCCTGTCACTCGCTGATGAGGTAATGACCATAATTGCGCATCTGAAGCCATGAGAGTGTTCATGAGTCCTGCAAATTTGGGGCACTTGCATTCAGAAAACTCGAAGCAAACGCTGCAAATGACGGCAGTGTGTAAGGTAACACGGCACTTAAGTAATAACCGTAATTAATCATACTGTAAAAAGAGCACTGATGGCAACTGAAAGGAGACACTCGCCTCCGAGCCCTTTCTTTAAACAGTTAGACACCGGAGACCGCCATCAAAACGTTACTTGAGATTATACACTCCTGAAACCTGTAACCTCGGCAAAGCGCAGAAGAGGGATTTTGATTGACAGCTCCCATGATGACGCCGAATGAGCAGGTTTACGGAGCACACGGAAGTGGTGTGAGTGTTGTTTCCTGTTTTCTGTTCAAATGCATATTTTATTGGTATTATTTTTTTTAAAATAGGGTTTTATTTTAAAGTACAAATTAAATCAAAACCTGATTTTGTTAGCTCGCATTGCTAGTTTTGTAGTGAACAATTCATCTGTGCATGTCATTAAGGAAAAAAAAAGTTTGCCCTTGTAACAAAGAGTATAGAATCACCAATAGGCAACACTCTAGTGCGATTTGGGAAACAGCCACTAGTTGCCGCTATAGTGTCATGCGGTGGCCATTTTGTAATGTTAATTGTGTTAGTAAGTGTTTTATTGTCGCCTTTTTACGATGTATCTCAGCTTTAATGCGCTATTTAAATAAACAAATAAAAAACAAAGGAGTATCTTGCCATTGTGACAGCAATAACATCCAATGGATGGCTGATGGCTTTCAAGCCAAAATGGCGGAATCGTGGGGCTGTTGCTTGGTGCTGCTGTTGCAGTGGAACGTTCTATTGAGTGCCACCCTTTTGTTGATTTTAGGCTCTTCGCTTGTAATCTTTAAATGAAATCTCTTTAAATAAATTCTCAGATTATTGTCTGGAGGTATTGGGAGGAGTGGCTAACATACTTAACCACGCCCCTCCAAATGTCAGATTTGACAACAAACAGAAATAGTGAGCAGGCGGAGT